ACACCCACAAGACATGTTGGACTACAACTCCCATCATCCACATTCAAAGGAGGCAAAACCTAAATGGGCAGGAAGACCTAAGCCGGGAGTGCCTGACCAACTGCACCGATTCCTTGTCTTCAGGCCTCCCTGTCTTCTCCACCCTTTCAGGATCTCGTTTCACTCCCCCGTGTGCTTTACTATTTTCTTCCAACATTTGCACTTACGCCTCCTGGTTTCTGAGCATCGCTCTCTTTCTCTCTCTCCCTGGGCCACTTCTCAATCTTCAGCCATCCTGGGTGAAGTTTTCAGTCTCAGCCAGTGTGACAGCTGGCCTGGTCCACCCAGTACACTGGGTTCAGATTGCTTCACTTGTCCTACCCCGTTTGCTCAACCACAGGCCAAATCAAAAGAAATACGTAAATTTAGCTCCTAGGATCGTTCTGTGTCAGACCAAAAGCAGAACTGAGGGTGTGGTTGTGCAGACCTAGAAGGCCCAGTTCTCAGTGGTTCGTACGCAATACTGAGAACCGACATGGTGGAGAAAGGAAAGCTGTGCCCCCTACTTGCCACCTGTTTTCTGTCCCTGAAATAAGCTGAGGATTCCTAGCATTTCAAAGGCCCTTCCCCTGCCTTTCTGAGCATCTAAATGGGATTACTAAGAATCAGCCTCGTCACTTGGAGATTTTTTTTCCTAAACGAGAAACCACAAGTGACGCTATTCTGAATCCTACACTGAACTCACAGCTCGTAGGGGACCTCTGTTGGCAGCTTAATGCATTTCCAGATTTTACATTTTCTGTCATGATAGCACTTCTTGGACTCAGAACAAGTCCAAGGAATTGTTCATCTATAGTTACACAATCCATTTGGGGGGTTTTTTCCCTTTCCAATCTGTCACAGCAACTATATGGGAGGCCATCTGAAAAGTTTCTGAATTTAGAACTCTAATGTAGTTGTATTATACGTGTCCAGAGAAAGAAAATTATGGGAGGGCACTGCTATTCACGCCAACTTTAATTCAGCCTCTGCCATCTGATTCGAAGGAAAGTCTTTTAAATGTTCCTCAATATTTATTTTTATTTTATTCTGTGGCAACCTTGCAGATCCTTTGGAAATACATTCTGATCCGCAGGTGGCATTTTAAGGATTGCTTGCCGGAGGCAATTATAACACATAGACGAATGTTTTGCCGTTCACAAGAAAACATAAAGCTTCACTTTGGGGATATACTATAGTGGGACAAGACCTATTCACAGCTCCTGATCCTCTTGAAATCCAAATTTCAACATTAGAGATCCTACGGGCTGAGTGGGATAATTTCACATTAGGGATCTTTCAGCTCTCTTCCACCCCTAATCCGCCTTATCATAACGGCAGGCTTTTAAAAAGAATTAATTGTTATTACTATAGAAGTTTATTGCTATAACTAAGGCCAGAGACTACAAACTCATAAGCCCTACCAAAAAAAAAAAAAGCTGTAATAGCAGATTTGTTTATATGTACAGTACTTAAAAACAAAAAGCAAAAGCAGATTACCAAATAGTAACCATAGCCAAGCTGAAAAGCACATTCACATTAAAAAGGAGATATATTTAGGTTTATGTTCCAGTTTATAACCAAATCTGTTTGCCATCTTCCTTAGAGAAGATTAGTTCAGCCCCACTTTTCCATCTGTCATGATGTGTGCTACAGGAGTGGTCCACTGCTGGTGCTCAACATGCTTAAGTTAGACACTTTGGTTCCTTGCCCAAATTTTATTTAGGACATAAAACTAGTTCTTAAGGATCTCATATTTTGAAGCAGTGTGTTGCAGAGAGCCTGAAGGTGTACACGCTTCATTCTAGCAAAATTTAACTCTCCTTTGAGTTGAAGTTGGCTGATGACTTCACAGACACATCAGTGTTTTCTTGCAAGAATACCAAAGTGGATTGCCACTACGGTACTTTCTTCCAATTTTTTTCAAATTACCAGTATAGCTTACAGCCCTGAGATTTCTTGTGGTCTCTCATCCAGCCCTAATCACATCAGACCCTGCTTAGCTTTGGAAGACTAGCCAAGGTCAGCTAGGTAACTACCATCTCCCATTTCAGTTAAGCTCAACTCCTACCTGGCATTGACATTCCCATCACCATGCTGTTTTCTTCTAGCAGCACAAAAGTGCTCTGCTACTGCCTTCTAGATGTTTTGCCCAGCCCAGCCTACAATCCTGGCATTCCCTCATGGTCTCTCATCCAAGTACGAACCAGGCCCAACCCTGCTTAGCTACTGGGCCCCGACAACATCAGTTTGCGGGCCAAACATTGTTGATAAAGGCATTCTAACAGCAATGAAAAATGTTGAAAGAAATGAAGAATGTAGAGAAGCCAGCTTATAAATGCCAGCATTTTCTAAAAGTTCTAGACCTTATAATTCAAGGAAAATCTTGGGATTTCCTAAAATAAGTTAAGATTTATTCATATAATGAATAAGTTTTCAGGAAGCTTGTCTCTTACCGTGGCAACATCTCTACTTCAAACATCTAAGCCAAAGCAAAAGCAAAAGAGAAAATCCCAAGTCTGCGACTTGTTTCATATACCGTACCAATCATTTACTGGGAGGCACCCATGGCTGACACATAAGTTATGAATACTTGCCAAGCTGTTTATATTGAAAATTATTTGCATTTTGCCAAGTAAAATGAGTACAACAAATGGAAGCCTGTTTTCTTTATAAAGAACTTTGCAGTCTAAAACTTAGCTTCAGAAAAGATGGAAAGGGACATAATAAAAGATGAAGTTGCACATATTCAAATTCTATTTTCTGATCAGGATGTAGGTGTTCAAACAAAGGCTTCATGGAAAAGTATAGTTTTTCTGGAGCCGAGATATGGTACCATGTAGTTGTTGCAGTGAATGGAAAAGAATTGCAGGCAAATCATGGAAGGGCTACATGTTAAATCTTAGAAAAATACCTTTTCTTAGTTCCGTATACAGGTCTATTATACAAGGGTTCAGATGCTGTGATTCCTCAAAAGAATCCTTCACTCTTCAACACCTTCATAAATTAGGGAATAGAAGGGATACTCATAAAATCTGTGTGTGTGTGTATGTGTGATAGACTTGAAGACTGGGCCCTATCCAACAAAAAGATGTTCAGTGGTAAAAAATGTAAGGTTCTGCACTTAGGGAGGAAAAACTAGAAGCACAGGTACAAGATAGGCAGTGTCTGGCTTAGCAGTAGTACCTGGCAGAAGGATCTGGGAGTCTTGATAGATTACAGATTAAACATGAGCCAGCAATGTGCCACAGCTGCTAAAAGAGCTAATGCAGTTTTGGGCTACATCAGTAGAGGTATAGATCATGGGAAGTGATAGTACTATTCTATGCTGCTCTGATCAAACTGAACCTGGAATACCATGCCTACTGATCACCTGTAATGGTATGTAGGAATCACCTTGGGAGGCAGGAAGAGCCATAGCCAGGAAAACAGCAGCTTAGTCCATAGCACAAATGTGGGCGTGGCAAACATCTCAGAAGGGACCCTCCCTAGTTCCTTGGCCTGTAACAGTAACGGGGGAGAGATTTATTTTCAGACTTGCAAGATTCTGTTAATGTAACCTTACAATAAAGCAGAATTAGTTCATCTGGGCATGCTTCCTGTCTGGACTACCTCGCAAGGCCAACATCACCACAACACACAAAGAATACTGAGGAACTGGAAAGAGTGCAGAGAAGAGTGACAAGGATGATAAGGTGCTTAGAACTTATGAAGAGCAGTTAAATGAACTTGGTCTGTTTAGCCTAAAGAAAAGAAGGCTGAGGGGAGACAGGACAGCAGTCACCTATACATGAAGGGATGTCACAGGGTGGGGTGGGGTGATATATTCTCTAGAGCACTTGAGGGTAAGACAAGAACCAGTGAGTGGAAGATTAACAGAGAGAGATTCAAACTTGAAACAAAGAGGAATTTCCTGACTGTGAGAGCTATTAAGAAGCTGAATAGCCTGTCTCCTGAAGTCACAAATGATCCATCACTGGAGGCTTTCAAGAAAAGACTGGACAGCCATTTGTTCAAGATGATATGAAGATTCCTGCACCGGGTTGGACTAGATGGCCTCCATGATCCCTTCCAACCCAATGATTCTATAAATTTCTAACCTGCCACTCCCCACGTGCTGGCATGACAGCATGTTACAGCTCCAGAAAATTTCACCTATGGGAAATTGCTGTGAGCTTACAGAGCAGAGGTGGCACATTTTGATCTTAAAATAAGCTTCTAGTAGGCCACCTGAGCCAAACATTTCAGCTTCTTTACCATCATTATGTGGAATCCACAAAGTTTTACTGAAATATATTTACTGGCAATATAGCATTATTTAACTCCCCAGCACCATATTCTTTAGATACCTAGTATGAAAAGAAATTGGATTTTAGCTCTATATCCTTAATAGGAATCAAGATACCTATTTTTAAAAAGCATGCCACTTCCTACACTGACTCAGTTTTGCCAGAAAAAGCAAAGGCATGGGGGAAAAAAACCAGGATACAGCTGAGACATTATTGTAAAAGCACAATACTATTTCACAGCAGGAAACTAATAACTACTACACACTCCAAGGGTTCCACAAGATAAGTCACTGCAAATCTGTGAAATCAGTATTATCATGGCACATAAGGGTTAATCCTTTCCACTTCACCCCACTGCCATTCTTCTTTTTTTTTAAAGTAATATACCCAAAGAACAGCACTCACATTGAGGTGTCACACTTGGCCCTTAGACTGAGCACTCTATACAGGGTTTGCGATGCCATTTCACACTGCAAAGAGAGGGCCATAAATTGGAACACTTCACAACTTCAGCAAAATCATACCCATGAAAAACTGGCAGGCCAAGTAGCAAACATTCTCTTCCTGGTTTTAAAATCTTGCTGGACCAAAAAGAGATTCATAGGAATGGGGAGAAAGGATGATCCAACTCACCGTCATCAGCAAGATGCAACTGAAACCACAAATATTAAAATGAAAATCCTCTCTTGTTACCTTTCCGAATGACAAGCTGCAGCGATGTCTGACCCTTTAACATCTCCAAATCCATTGGTGACTCCATTGCAGGAGTCCTTCCTCATCTCCCCTTCAGGAGTCCTTTCTAAAAACTGAGTGTCTTCTTTGATACGCTGTTGGATCATTGGAGTAAGTGGCATTTCAAAGCTGAAGTAGCTGTCAGGCTCAGAATATAACGTTTCCAGTGACTCGGCACTGTAATATAAAGATGCATTGTCCAGAATGCTTTCAAACTGGGAGCTGTACACATCTGTTGAGACTTCAGAGAGTTGCCCAAGGACATCTTCCATTCTCCCACTGAGCATTTCTTCCTCCTCCATTAGCCTAGGAATCAAAATTGGTAAAAAAGTGCTTTAATTTAGTTTTAAGGCTTACATGTTGGCATGTTCAAATCTTCTCAGTAGCAGTTCACACAGACACATACAAATAGCCCTTCCTTTTGATCATTATGTACCAGCATTTAACATCTGGTTACAATAGTCTTGATGGAGAACAGACCCTTTTGTATTTCCCAGTGGCTTTCCATCCCCCACATCCAGACCCAGTATGGAGTAGAAACAAAAGTCGCTGCGATAGGATGATGTGTACTGAAACATCAGCTTATTGTGTTCAAGAGAAAAAAGGCACATTGTGTGTCTCTATCCCAGATTAGTTTTCAGAGATTCTGAAGCTACTAAATCCTTTCTTCTAACAGCTCAGGCAATTGTCAAAAAGCAACAAAAGGAAAGAATAGAACTAGAGACAGAATACTTATTTGGAGCAACAGAGCCTTCTTTCCCATAGCTTTACCCGTATTCCACAATCAGTGGACTTCTCAAGGTTTTAAGCTCAAAAAGACTGAGAAGAAAGAAGTATGGGTAACGGTGTCTCTATGCTAAATAGTCTGTACATTATCACTATTACACATTGTATATATACATGAGAAAGTGCTGCAAAATTTCTGAACTTGCTGCTTTGCTCCACACAAAACTGTTGCAATACTATTCCTTTGGTAGGATTGAAACAGTAATTGGCATGTTAAGAAACTAACATAGGATCTGGTCTGCTTCTGAATAGACTAATCTTGACACTGCTCAGTGAACATCACAGAGGAGAACTGTCCTGTTTGAGGAAAGACATAAATATTGGCTAATCAAACTATTTGGATCTTTCCAAATTAGCACCATCAGCAACCAAGCCAAGGAATGGGACAGTGGAGGAATGCAATGTTAATACCTTTTAATCCTTCTACATATCTTCTCCAAGCTGCAATTTGCCTTACAGACCAAAAGCTACAGCTTGCAGAATCTTAAAATCTCTAAAAGTATTAAGCCCTTGACTGTGACTTTCAAATTCTTCATGATTCTTAAAAAATCAAGAAGAGGTCATAGGAAACAGACACGAGAACGTGCCCTCGCCCTCTCATTCCTCCTCTCTCATGCATTGGCCTAACTCTTAAATTGACCTTCCACTGCTCAGGATATTTACAGTACTTGACACAAAACAGGGTTTCCTTTTAAATATGATTCAAAGTTAGTTAACAAAACGTATTCAAGAGAATCCTAGACATTCTAAACAACAGCCATCATGAGTACCAGTATTAAATTGCATCACAATTTAGACCATTGGGAATTCCTTATTTTTTCTCTGATCTCTTAACCAAAGCTTAATCACTCGCCTGATTCACACATGAGGCTAAAACTAACAGGTTTGGTTTGACTCCTTATGGTTTATTCAAATTAACCATGACAGAATATGTGTGAACTCAAACTGGGTTCAGAAATCAAACTGGGTTCAGAAATCACACTAAGCCATAATGTACAGACTTTGGTTCAGGATTTACCACTTATAAACCCAGCCAACTATAGTTCATTTATGTATGTAAATCATGGCACTTTAATGTATGTGAATCAAATCATTATGCTTACACCAACTATGAATGGTTATTGGGTTAAGTGACTCTGAAAATCCTTTCATTCATCTAATTATTGGATCAAATAAAACAACTATAAGATATTCCATGAAGGTAAGCAATATAATGCAGATCACTCCTTTTGCGGAGAAAGACCAACTCATGCTTTACTCATAACAGAGCCCACTTAATACTAATAAAGCAGTTGCTATGGCATCAAGAAGATTAGTTATTAGAGCAATTTAACTAAGGTACATTATAGTCAAGACTCCTGCTGTTGTGTTTACAATTAAGTTTAGCACATTACTCATTTCTACATTTTGTTTATACCATGAAGTGTTTACTTACCATGTAAATTAAAACCTATTTATGCAAACTGTGATTAAAGAACATACTAATAAATCATTCATAGTATAGGAGTAAACTGACCCTGACTGCTTGCTAGAGCAGCAAAACAGTTTATCTTAGGAAAGGAGAGAGCTTGAGCTGAGTAAAAAGTGGAAACACTTCATTAAGGGAACCTCTTAATATGCACACACTGTATACTAAAGGTACAATAGAGATTTATCCTCATTATTCCAGAACTTTTTTTTATTTTGGGTGATTCTACAAAGGTAGAGACAGGCACCTTGATACTATCCAGCTCTCTAGGCCAATATACATCAAATCTGGGCGCCATTAGCATAGCCAAAGAAAAGGAATTGGGGAAGTTGTAAGAAAAAACTTACTGGGACTAAAAAGTGGCTAATTCTGAAATAAGGCCAAATGGAGATAAAGCCCCATTCTAAGTGCCGCCTTTGGCGCCAGCTAAGCTCTCTGATCCATTTCACTTTTTACATTTCTTAAAAATCCTTTTTTAAAAAATTGAAAACTGGCATGCTATGATGCTGGCATGATGCCTTCAGCATCATCTTTCTTTTTAAAAACCCCTCTGGGGTCCCAAAGAGGCCCCAGAAATATTCTTAAGAAATATTCTTAAGAAATAAACATGATTTCCAGCTAGAGCTCAGTGTTTGGAAGTACACTTAATCCAAAGGTAAAGTAAGAAAAGTAGAGAGTATCCGGTGTGGGAGAGACAAAAAACAGGTTGTAAGTAGCATTCTGGGAAGTCGTGCTTTGCAACTGGTTATATCCCCCATGACAGCCCTTTTGTGAATGAACCAGTCCTTCCACCTAGCAGCCATTTTAACAGAGAACCCATAAAATGTTCGCAAGATTCCAAATGTACCCCAATTGGCTGAGATGATATAACACAGGGTTCCTCAACCTTGGCGACTTGAAGATGTGTGGACTACAACTCCCAGAATTCTCCAGCCAGCATGGCTGGCTGGGGAATTCTGGG